CACCCGTAAGAAAGCAGAGATTTACGATGTGTGTCAGTATGGGTACTATAATGTCTCTTGCAAGTTTTAGTAATTTAGTAGGTATTCCATCCCATCCAAGCGCGCTATCAGTTTTTAAATTCATTAAGGTGGCATTAATTTCTTGATTTGATGTTTTCGAAAAGAGCCATAGAGCTAGTTGGTACGAACTGTGTTTCATATTGGCAAGAATGGATGTTATTATTTTGAGATAGAATTGTATTTGCCAGTTCCGCTGCAATTCCAGAATAAAAATCATTTATTTTATCTAAAGCTGCCTCGGGAGTATTAGCTATTTTAAGAAGCTCATTAGCAGGATTGATTTTATGATTTCTGTTTGCTATAGAATCAATTATTTTCCACTTCTTCTTCGGATCTTTAGCATATTTCTTCAATTCATTACTTTCATAATTTCTTTTCAGACGTTTTAATAGATCATTACAAAAATTTTTGTACCTTACATATGTTATCTTAATTATTTCATTTTGTGGTTCTTTTTTACACTTTAAATTCATACGATCACGAGTCCTAATACAACGGACTAATCCCGGTGTGATCCACGGCTTAATACAACGTATATTTCTAGGTGATAGAATTGTTAATGAATGTTTTTGAGTCAACATTTTCAAAGTTGATACCAATTGCTCAGAGCACCAATTAGCATCTTGTGATTTAAATATGTTATCAAAATTTGTTGTTTTAAGCTCCTCAATAATAGAATCATAGTTTATTTTGTGAATTTTATTTGAGTAAGTAATTCGCATATCAGATTTATGCTTTAAATTAATACAAGTAAGAACAGCAGAGTGATCAGTTAATGGTGCCGCCATCACAATGGTAACAGCTGGGAAATTTGATTTAATCATCGCATGATCTATACAATTATTGGCTCTGGTCGGATGTTGATGGCCAGCTAGCAAGCCATGACTAGCTAGTAGGTTTAAATAGTCAGCTGAATTATTGTCTATATTATTAATCTTAATATCAACGTTTAGGTCACCCGTTAAAATTATATTTTCAAATTTATTTAAAGAATTTAGTAATATATCTAAGGAATTCATGAAATTATCTATATTTCTATGAGATGGGGATCTGTAGATACCGATAACAGCAGTTTTTTGATCAATTTTTATAACTAAACACGAAGCATCATTAAGATGAACTTCTTCGACAGAGCAATTAATGTTTCGTTTTATATAAATAACAATGCCATCATTTTGGTTAATATTATTTTTAGTGTAATGAGTTTCGTAATTGTTTAAGGATGGATAATTAGGAACTATTGAATTCCATGACTCTGTAAGTATATATATTTCACAATTTATATCTAATCTACTTAAAAGAATTTCAAATTCATTAAAATTTTTATTAATGCTTCGAATATTTTGTACGAGGATTTTAAAGTAGGCATTAATGGATTCCTGCATTATAAGTGTCTTACAAGATTCGGGTAGGCATAGAAAAGAAGAACCAACTTTGACGTTATCTAGAGTATTTGTAAGAATCTGATTATTTATGTGATCGAATTTTAATTTTATTACAACAATGGCTTAAAGTATGACATGAATGAATTTTAAATATGTACAACTTAAAATTCATAGTTAAATATTTACGCTGATTACTGATTATGAGATGAATAAGACAAAGGCTACCAAAATAAAGTAAAGGTCGATTAAGTTTAAAAGCTGCAAGTACACACAAATAAGGTAATATTTTAATAAACAACAAAAAACAGTAGTAATACCTTTTTAAAGAGCAGAGAAAATAGCCGAGTGATATATCTAGTCATTTCTGATTTCTTAAGGTAGCTAATAATTCTTCATTCTTAACTTCTATGTGGGGAGAGTCAGGTGCTTTCCTCAAGAATATTTTACCATGAGTTGTCCAGCAGAACTTATAGTGGTGAGATTTGGCAAAGTCTCTTGCTAAGAAAAATAGTCTGCGTCCCTTACTAGTAAGCGCTTCCGATACATATATTGGAGCAATTGGTCCTTGAAATCCAATTGTTGCCGTGGACAGTCGATGTGTAGGATGATCTTTATTGTACTTTTTGGCAGCATTAATCACATCGTGTTTAGCAATGACAGTCGTTAGATCTGCAATGACTGTGTTTTTGCCCGATTTTCCGTTTAGTCGATACACATCCCGGATATTATTAGGTTGAATATTTACATCCAGGGCTTTGCATGTATCTTGGACAATTTTACTTAGAGTAGCCTTTGATTCTGGTTGAGCAATAAATGGGATATTCCTCATTTCAATAGTCGATAGTTTTGAATTTCGTTCTATATCATCGAGTTTTAACTCTAAAGACGAAATTTGAAGTAAGTGCTGTTTGCGCTCAGCCTCTAGATTTTCTATCTTCTTTTTCATTTCTTCAAAATGAAAATTTAGAAACTCTAATGATTTTTCTATCTCTTCGTTGGATTTTTTGATATCATTATTTTGTTGTTTTATAACAGATACCTCCGATACAAGCTTGCTTAACATTGAATTCTGTGTTTCTTTCCAACTTTCTATCATGTTTTTTATTTCGTCTTTAAAAGTCGAAAACTTTTCCTCGCTTGATTCTCGTGGTCTTTTGCTTCTTAGCGTAATATTCGATGACATTGGGGTACAGGGAGTAATTGTTGAAATATCGGAATCCGAAGCTGTGTGCTTAAGACTATGTCCAGGAGGAGATCTTGCGATGGTAGACATTATTATAAAGGCACTTGGTACGAGTTCAAAGTTTTCGTAGTGAAACTCACCCACGGCTTGCACAGGTTAATTTTATCTAATAATTTGTTGTCCTAGTTTTACTTCAATATTTAAATTAGGGTTATTTATTATTTTCTTGTAAATATCCAATAAATTAGTTGAACCAATTAGTAAAATATGTAAATATTAAATAATGATTGTATTTTTGAGTGCACACGTCTGCTTTCGTTCGCGTTTCGAGCGGAAGAGGAGAGAATTATAAAAATCGATTCACAACTCGCAAATATATCGAGTAGAATACAGTGCTATTATGTACCTTCTCCTTTTTGAAGAAATTGACAGACTTCAAAAAGAAGAAGAGATTTTAAATGTTTAATTTATAAGTCCTAAAGCAAATTTAATCATAGGTAATACAATTAAAAATATAAGAACCACGTATGTATTAAGTGGGTAACTTATATCGGTTCGGCGGATTGGCTGAATATATTTTTTTTAATTTTTTTGGAATATGAACCAAATTTTCAAAGCAGTGTTTATACAAAAGTAATAAATTTAAACACAATTTCTTGGCAATGGAGAGGACTCGATTGACACACGAAGGTCGTCTAGACTTCCATAATAAACTGACGCGGTAATGAAGCGCCGCGCCGGGGCATGTCCATCAAAAGATCAAAAGAGATGTTTTAAGGTTAGCTATAAATCTATTGTGATTAAATAAAATTTAGCCAATAAATACTATTTATCTAATAATGATATTTGAATATTGTATTTTAATGTGAGTGGGTGATATTCCGTGTTCACTCTAGTTGTGTGTGCAGGGGGATAATCAAACATCTAAAGTATCGGCTCATTAGCGTCCGGCAATCCAGCCGGGCGCGAAGCCAAGAAACGTACTGAGAGTCCACCCAGGGTGGAACGTTGGAGCAACCCCATGCCTGTGGTGGTCTGCTTTAGGAGACCTGCTGTCGGGGTGTCGTGGTTGAAAGTGTGTAAGATTCTGCGACGGCCCATTAAAGACGATGGAGGTTTTGTTGGGTTTTAGTGAGTAATGGCTTTTATAGCCAGTGAGTCCCACATAACCACCTTTATTTCAATGTATTGTTTCCCAACATTAAAAAAAAAATTGTTTGAATATATGTCAAAAATCACAATCAATTTATGTGAAAATGCATAACTTTGGACAATACTATATAGGATATCAAACTGAAATGCCAAATTGGGCTATGCTTTAGTCTAAAAATATTTTATAATCAATCTATAAAACCAAAGTATGTATAAACTTCCTTACACATATAAAAGGAAGTTGCCCGTGAATGTTTGTCTGTACATATGTACCTATGTATTCTTGTATGTAAGTGCGCGTTAAACTCGAGAAGTACTGTACGAATAGGGTTTTTAATATTTTGATATAATTTAAACGTTTATCTTACAAATTCGGAACAGATAACTGCAGCTAAAAACTTACATAAACTAAAAAAAACTACGTTTCAAAAACCGACTTCAAAAACTAAAAAGTATAAAATAACTTAATAAAGAGTTAATTTAATACACCTTTTATGCAAACCAAACCAAGCCGCGCGGCGATTTGAGAAATCTGTACTAAAGGCACCGACTTCAAATCTATCAATAGGTAGCACATACAAATAATAGTATTTTATTAATATTAAAGGTATTGTTTGGTTTGCATAAGAGGTGTATTAAATTAAATCTTTATTAAGTTATATTATACTTTTTAGTTTTTGAAGTCGGTTTTTTTAAACGTAGTTTTTTTTTACTTCTTAGTGTCTGTAATAGGTTGTTCTGTAAACTACAGTAGGTAATAATGTAACGATTGGTTATAATCTGTTTCTCTCTTCCGCACGCTCGTTCGGCTTCAATAAAAAAATGTTCATAAAATGAAAACTACTGGACCAAACTGTGTTAAATTTTTATGGGACCAAATGGAAACTATTCCGCATCATACTAAAAAAGAATCACGTAAATCGGATCATAAATCTCAGCGTAATCGATGTACATACATAAAAAAAATACCAATCGAATTGAAAACCTCCTCCTTTTTGAAGTCGGTTAATTACATCGCATAACTCAGGATGAAAAAACAAATCGAATGTTCATATAAAAATTATAATTTCTCGAATTTTCTTTGAAACAGAGCATTTAATTGCTCTTCGACACAGTCTATGATCTTTATTCTATAAATAAAAAAAGATTGGGTCAATCCAGCATTTTTGCTACTAACACAAATTAATTCATATTCCTGTATAACGTCTAAGAAAACATTAAAGATGCTTCCATCGCTTAAAAACTCCTTGACTTCGACCTTTGGCACGATCTAATGGAATGAATAACGCCAAGCCCACCATGTCATTTACTTTGCATCTGTTACAAAGCTATTAGCGTTTGTTACAATGTTAGGTCTGCAAATATAAAAAAAAAACAACTGCATTTCTCTTAAAAAAACATGACGATCAATGACCGCCTTTGTGTTGGTACGATATATTTGTTTTTGCGATTTATGTTTTATTTGTACGTATAAATTATAAAAGGATAATAGAAACAACTTAGAATTATTTTAACTGCACAAGATATATGTTGCCCCGATCTGACCAAAACGCGATTTTTATCCACTTTTAGGCGTCACTCATATATCAATCTATTCCAAATAGTGCTTTTAAAAAAAAAACAAACAATAAGGCAAATGAAAGAATTTTTTTTATGAAGGAAATATAAAACTATCAAAAATGTAGAAGTACAATTGAACATCAAACAATCTTTTGTATTTGTTTTTTGTTTCAGTAAATTAACATAATCATACTTCAAACAACTTTTTGTTCTGTATGATTAGTAATTGCTTATAAAGTGGTCCCGTAAAAATATTCATTGTTATTCTCAATTTCTTGATGAAATTATATTAAATATTTATAAGTTATGGTTGTTCCAATTAATATAAAACAATAACAAATAATTTCCCTCCATTTAAACCGACAAACCTGACAGGCGATAAAGGATTTTTAAAACTAAATGCAAATGTTTTTTTTACAATAAATAAATAGTTATGGATCTGGCAAAATGCCATACTGCAATCGATGAACAATAGAAATTTTCAAAATCGTATTGAAATGGCAAAAAACCTCATGTCATAGAATTATAGTGTAATGTCAAAGTAAAATGTAAGGCTACGGAACATTAAACATAGACAAAATTTTACGTCTAAACGTCTATGAAAAATAGCTTTAACAATAACCAGTAAAACGTTAGTTCTAATAAAAAAGCAATTTGCATTCTTGATTTATAAACGTTTTCGAATAATCACCAGAGCCTCATTACATGTAACGTTTTGGGTTTTATGTTCCTCAATTATTTTTCATCTCTCCTGTGGGTGGTGTTCATTGTAAGGCGTTTGAACTTTTATACTGTAAATTATTTATTTTAAAGAATTTTCGCATTTTCAAAAGCTCTCTCTATTGCATTGACATGTAAAGAAATAAAGTAAAATATATTTGATGTAGCGAAACGAAAAAGTTGATAAATACATCCCATTATATGTATATTCCAATCCATACTGATATTATAAATGTTTCACATTTTGTTTCACGTTTGTATGGATGTTTGTTACTCTTTCACGCCAGAACGGCTGAACGGGTCTGGATAAAATTTGGTACAGAGATAGAGCGAAGCGAGGGTGAGATGCCAGTAATATTATAAATGCGAATGTTTAGATGGATGGATGTTTGTTACTCAATCATGCAAGACCGGCTGAATGGATCTGGATGAAATTTGACACAAAGATAGATTATAGTCTGGAATAGCACATAGGTTACTTTTTATCCCGGAGAAATTTACGGTTCCCGTGGGATAGACTATCTTTTCCATACTAACCGCTAATAATATAATAATAATGAAACTATTAATCAAACAAGAAAAGTCAAATTAATGAACTAAAAAATTTCTTATGGAAAATTTATCTACCATGTAATGTAAACAATGCTGTGTACTGGTTTCCTCAATTTGATCGAAATGGGCGATGATGGCAAAACTAAATGTTTTTGCGGACATTAAACTTGGATCGGCTGGTCGTTACTTTGTTGTTGCACATTAATGAGATATTAGGAATACGATGTCGTAAATTACTGCTATTCATTTTCATACATGAGAACACAATTTAAGCTTAAAAAAGTTGACTTAGAAACAAATATAAAATCATTTCGTAAGTTTTGGTGACAAATAAAACTTAAAATCTATATAGTAAATCCATGCTAACTCACAACTATAAATAAAAGCTAACTTTAAGCAATACATGCTGCCAACTTACCTAATAACCATTTCCAAAACATCTTCTCTCTCAAAAACTTTGCAGTACAGATGCAATATCTTCAAACACGTATATTGGATTCCAGTCCATGTCAATTCTGCTGACTTTAGGGCTTCATCCCAAGGGCAGTTCTCGTGTCTCGACAGGCAAAGCATGCCGTCATGTGTTTCCGTTGGAGGCATTTAATCTTTGGTATTGTTAATATGTATAAGGAACTTTGGTTTTAAATCAGTCTTAGTTTTAGAGGTGATTCATGAAGGTAGACCTGTTTCGCTGGTTTATAGACTAATAAGTTTTTGCCATAGCTATTTGTAATCTAAAACGATGTAATTATAATAAATATTAGCATATATTTTTTCTGAATTTTATAGGGTTTTGCTTTTGTGTACAATGTGAATTCAAGCTTTGCTCTTTTAGTTTATCCTTCTTTAACTCTACAAATTAATAAGCCGGATAGTGACATAGGTATCCTCATTATGGTATATAGCCGTATTGTATTTTCATTATAGTTAAATATAAATTAAGTAATTAAAATAATATTAATTGCAACATATGAGAATAAGTGATTTCATATAGTTAACTTTTCGTCTTAAGAAGTTATGGTACCGAATGCATCTATATACGGTAGCGGCACAAGGTCCAGGGCAATTGTTCAGACCTTCAACAAAATAGTTATCCATAAAGGCAGCACCAAAAATTCTACTTTACTAAATGTTCTTAAGGATGTCTACTGCATAAAACAAAAATTTTATACGGAAAAATTATTTATTATCCTTCGCAAATTTATACCTATAGGATAATAATAATAATAGAAACCAATATATTGTAATTGTAATATTTAACAACATATGTTAATTTTCATAATAAAACGTATAAGTCATTCTATTCATTGTATTATTTACGGAATGATAATAAATATATATATATATATATATATATATATATATATATATATATATATATATATATATATATATATATAATAAAAACTTGAGTAGCAACCCTAATAAATATATTTTAAGCGTTCTGGTCTCATTAAATGGGGAATTAAAGCTAACTGCACTTCTGTAAACTTGATATGGTCTTTATATGGTAGTACATTTGTCAACTATACCCGTTATAATCATCAACATAAATATGCGAGTGAATATCTTAACATCAATATATGTAATTAGTAGATGACAAGTATTTATTTGTACGTAACTTTCGATAAAACTTTAGATATTCAAATTTCAAGGTGCTTCATCTAGGAACCCATATAACATTGGACATGATTCATCGCGTTAGATATACATTATACACGTATACCAGTTTTAAAGAAGAATTTGTTTAATATTTTACTTTGGAATGACGATAGATTAAATAGGATAATCATTTGAAGAATGAAATTGTCTAATTAAAAAATGCTATATAAATATATTAATATTATAATTTTAATACCTAATAAGAAAAATTGCACTTTCTTAACATATCGATGGAAATTAACATGAAGCATTTGTGAGGGATTGTTTTTCTCTCTCATATGCATACGAGTATGTATGACAATATCAACTGTATTCCTTTAATAGCTCTTAATCAATTACAAATGCAAATAAAAATTACTTAACGAGCGAGCAGACGATATATCCAATAAGGATAATACATACGACATCCCAAACTCAGTTGTGTCAGGAAGTTCTAATTTAAACAATTCACTGTCGACAGCTATTGTTTCTGAGCTAAGTTTTGTTTTGCTTAGTTCATAGTGAGATAAGCGCCTTGACGGAATGTATGAAAATAAATGCTATCACTTTCTAAAATAATGTGTACAATATGTACCCTATAACTAGCAGAACTCGCGGCTTCGCTCACGCTAAAACTACAAAAAAACTCTTATACGGTAGGTTTCATACAAACTTACATGCCCTATTGTACTCTCTTATTGGATGAATTTCGAAAAATGCTAAAACACGTATTTATTTAGTTGTATTTTTTTTTGGTTTGTATTGTAACGTGTTTTCCCGTGGGAATGAGATAATCTCCTGCGGTAAAAAGTAGCTATGTCACTCTCCACCCTGTCTTCACATAAAAAATCAAACCAATCTGTTATTCCGTTTCTACGTGAAAGAAGGACAAACAAACAAACACACTTTCACAATTATAATATTAATATGGATTATATTGATGATAAAACAATATGGATTATTAACATTCTTAAGCATGATAACTAATCAACATTTTTTTTAAATGTTATTGCAGTATACTACCATAGTATATGGTACAGCAAAATTGGCGCTACGAAAGTATACTTGAGGGTTTGAGTTTAAAATTAATTAGGTTAATTAATTTAAAACGGAAACTTATTTACATAATATTATATAAGATTTAAATACCCAAATACAAGAACATACCTACAATATCATATTTTCGTTATATTTATTATGATTTCAAGTAAAACAAAAATAAATAACTGAAATTAGTTATAAAAACATTATTATTACTTATTTAAAAAAGTAGATGTGATATTTTTTAAATATTGGCATATTGTGTGCAAGAACTAATGACAGAAAAAAATGGTTAATAAAATCTATTTATGTATTAAAATTCTGAGTCGAATCCGTACATTAAATATTTATTGGAAAATCTTATTGAAATAGTCATTATTATCGATCTAGTCTATAGTTTTTAGAATTTTTTCTGCCTGGGACGCATAACCAGCTATCACCATACCAAATTTCATCAAAATCTGTCCGTCGTCCAGTTTCCTCGTGGTGCGGTAACAGACAGACAATAATTCTAAAAACTATAGATTCGGACTCTGTATCATAATAATGTCTATTTCAATTAGATTTTCCAAAAAATATTTAATGTACAGATTCGACTTAGTTACAATTTTATTATATGTATAGATTGTGCAAGTGTCGTGACCTTTTCCTACATTTTATCACTAACAGTAGCCTATGTGTAACTCATCTTTAGGTCATAGTAAGTATATCTACCTGTGTACTAAATTTTATCAAAATTGCTCCTGCCGTTTCAGCGTGAAAGAGTTACAAACCTACACTCATACTAACTTTCGCATTATTTAATACTAGTTTGACTACTTAGATACTGGACTGTAAAAGGTTTATTACGGAACTAGCATTGAAAAATATTTAATGTACAGATTCGGCTTAGTTACAATTTTATTATTATTATTATAATATATATATATATATATATATATATATATATATATATATATATATATATATATACATATATAGATTAAAAACCAACATTGTCTAATCTATACTAATAAATTATAACTGGTTTTTCCGTCAAGAAATCCTCAGTTATAGAGCAAAACCAATTAACTATTTTGGTCCGACCCGGGACTCAAACCTAAGATCAGTAGCATCTCATGATCATTAGTTACCAAAACCAATGTTGGAATACTGTGAGAGAAGCAGTAGTGCAGAGCCGCACTTGCAGGATAGTACATAAACAAACCTCGATTATTTTAACATACGAGGCACTTGTAAAATAGTATTCGATGTCGCATTTTAAAATAAAACTTTAAAAATCTATATATAATATATTACCAAATATAATATATTTATTTATTCACTCACTGATAAACAACACAGCCTAAATGATTGGGCCTAGAAGCAAGTATAAATAAAATTATCCCAAATGATTAAATAGCGATGTAACTTTGTATGGAAGTTTATTTAATATAGAAATATGGAAATTCTTGCTTTATCTTCTGACCGAAGAAACTTTGACACCGTAATCCTATAATGACGTATAAACCCTAAAGAAGTACCAAGGGTTAGTAAATTTTGTATGTGACCCTGGTTAGACTGCTAGTTTCTTATATTAATATTTTTTTAAGATAAGTAATATTCTGGACCTATAATAATCTCAAATTCGTACTTGACACTTTTTTATTTTTATTTTCTCGAACACTCCACCTATCTAGGCCGAGCTGCAATCATTAGTTATAGGTGCAGTGATGTAAGGCTTCAAAGCATTAAGCACAGTGGAAAACCTTGAAGACGTTCATTGTTATGAATTATACGATATCAGCTTATAGTAGTCTCTTTTTATTTTACGTACAATATTACGATAAAGTAGAAATATAATTATTACTGATTATTTATCGGCAGATAGTTTCAAAAAATACAACGTACGAGTTCGATGTATTTAAAAAAATATATTATAATCTATACCTACATATAATAAAATTGTAACTAAGCCGAATCTGTACATTAAATATTTTTTGGAAAATCTTATTGAAATAGACTTTAATTATCGGTACAGAGACCGAATCTGTAGTTTTTAGAATTCTTGTCTGTCTGTCTGCCTGCCTGTTAGCGCATCACAGAAAAACCACTGGAGGGATTTTGATGAAATTTGGTATGGAGATAGCTGGTTATCCGGGTCAAATTTACCGCGGGAAAATGTTTCATTTCTGAGAAAAAATACAAAAACTGCAATGTAAGACTATACTAATACGTAAAACCTAAGAATTTGGTTTATGGTCATCTAAACGCGGGCGAAGCTGCGGGCAATGCTAGTATAATATATAATATAAATATATTTAAGCGTTGGATGTTTAATAATGTATTTTTTTTAGTATCTTATACTAGTGGTACAAGCACTTGACGTCCATATTTATCAAGTTAACACTGTCATAAGAATAAATTAACACTTTAGGAAGGATATTTTGAAGGTTTTGCATTGCGAAAATATCATATGTATGTATTCTTCTTGCATATAAGATCTTTTAATATTGTTTAAATAATTTTAGTTTTATACCCTTGTTACAAATTGTTATATTTATGCAACATATTATCCACAAACTGGGGTTATTGAGCTTTTTAAATCTTATTAAAACCTACATAATATGTATTGTCAGGAGGTACTATTGAATATAAATAATAAAAAAAGACAAAGATAACATTTGATGTGTGTGTAAAAAATAATGTGGTTGTGTGGGTAGTAAATATACGACAGTAATCCTACTTGTTTCATAGTAGTAGGGATGTCTCTACTACTATGATAGAGAGGTAAGTTTTGTATACAATACTAGGCACAAATAAAATTAGACATAAAATACTTTGGACAGGAAACAAATTGTATTTACGTTTCAATTATAAAGTCAAATTCAACAAAAAATGTTTTCTACAATATCCGAGTAATTTTTCCATTATTTACT